AAAAAAAAAAAAAAAAAAAAGGAAAAAAAAAAAAAAAAAAAGGGAGCTGTAGTGAAGGGTATGGAGGCGGGGCTGGGGCCCTACCTGCCCAGCCACCTGCTCCTTTCCCAGGGCCCACTCTGGCATGTATCTCTTCTGGATACTAGGGCTTCTGGGAGCACAATTTAAAAGTCACCACACTAGAATAAGGAGTGGATATGGAGCCAAAAGTTTCTTTGGGTTCAAGTCCCTGGTCTTGCATTTACTAGTTATTTTGCCTTATACATATTTTATGTTAGAAGAGGATTAATCTCTCTAAGAACATCTCAACGGGAGGTAAAGATAGCTCTCCTGCGGGACTCACAGCGCTGATAGAAAGACACATTTTGCTAACAGATGTGAAGTGTGTTATACGCTATGAGGCAATATCAGAATGCAAACTAATTGCATTCTTACCTTTAGTATTGTTAAAGACTGAAAACTTAAGCAAAAAGCCAAACCAAAACAAAATACTGCTGCACTAGACAAATGCAGAGGTTGTCCCCTTTCCCAGTGGTGCTGGGCTCCAGGAAGGAGAGAATGGAATCCAGCTGATGTTTCCCTAAGGCCCTCTCCAGTAAGCAGGAAGCCATTCCCACCTGCCTGCTCTCTCCACTCATCCTCTCCATCCCTCAGCGAGCGGTCAACAGGGGTAGGCCTGGATCACAGCTCTAGAATTCTGTAAGCTCATGGGAGAGGTATTATATGCTAAGGGGGTGGACTTCCTACCTTCTCCTCCTCCTGTCTTGCTGCAGGCCAGAGTGGACTGGGCAAGTCAACACTGGTCAACACACTCTTTAAATCCCAAGTGAGCCGCAAGGCCTCCAGCTGGAACCGGGAGGAGAAGATCCCGAAGACAGTGGAGATCAAAGCTATTGGGCATGGTGAGGACCAGGCAGGGACCTCTATGGGCTTTGTTTAGAGGGGGCCTCTGCCAGAAACGGGAAAGAATGGGTCTTACTGGCAAATAAGATAAATGCGAGGCAACCTCAAGCCAGGATAGAATTGAGCACTCTATGAAGCAAACTCCTTAGACTGCTAGTTCAGGAAAGGGAGACGGGGGGGCATGGAACTTCAAGAAGTGGGACTTGAGCTGGATGACAAATCATAGATAGGATTTAGACAGGTAGAAAGAAGTATTTAGAGGGTATTCCAGGTGCAGGGAAAAGCATGAGCAAAGGTGTTGAGGTGGGGAAGATTCTGGACTCAACTTTTCCAATAATCAGTCCTGAAGAAGGGAAGAGGCCTGGGTTTCCCTGGCTAGCAGCTGCAGGGCACCTGGGGTCAGCTGTAAGACTGACCTCTCTGATGTTTTTTTCACCTCTCAGTGATAGAAGAAGGTGGTGTCAAAATGAAGCTGACTGTCATCGACACCCCAGGCTTTGGAGACCAGATCAACAATGAAAACTGGTATATGTCTGCCTTTGACATTTCTGCCCTAAAGACTCTGCCAGGAAGATTCTTAACATGGTGCAGCTTCATTCACACTGAGAACCATCTGCACCTTCCATGCTCTGCAGGTTCTGATAGCCCAGGCAGAGGTTAGGTCCCCTGGGGAGTTGTACCCTTGCTGACTATCCATGGAAAGCCATCCATGGAAGGCTGAGGGAGAATTGGTCGCAGGTATCCTAGACCCACCAGGGGAGGTAGGAAATGAGAGGGGTGGGAGGGGATTGCTATCGACCATGTCTAAGACGAGCCCCAGGTCCTGTCCTCCTGATGTATCCATCTCCCTGCCCCCCACCCCTCAGCTGGGAGCCCATTGAGAAGTACATCAATGAGCAGTACGAGAAGTTCCTGAAGGAGGAGGTAAACATCGCCAGGAAGAAGCGCATCCCTGACACTCGCGTCCACTGCTGCCTCTACTTCATCTCCCCCACAGGACACTCGTATGTACCAACCCCACCACTCTTGCTGGGCCCGGATCTGGTTTGTGTCACCTGTGCACATTCTGGAATGCCTTGACTCAGTTGGGGAGGGCCAGAGGGGCCAGAATATAGTCATGACCCCGTGACTTTGGGATCCCTCAGACTTTCTCGTGGAAAGTCTACCAGGAGGGTAAAGGTGACCAACATCACTCCACACTGCCCAATGGTGTCCCAGCCCCATAGCATGACTGTACCAGCAGAGAGAACTTGGTGTATGTGAGCAGAGGGCACCTCATGTATTCAACAAGTACCTGCTTTGGACAAGGCCCAGGGTGGGGGGAGCAGCAAGAAGGGGCAGGGCTACAGGAGTGAGGCTGGTGTTTGGGCAGGGTGTGGGACCCAGCTGTAGGCACTTGGAAGGTGGCCAGCCCAGCATGAGAAGCCAGGTGTCTGAGATGAAGTCCGACCACAGTAGAGCACGTTGGGAATGTTGATTGTGAGTAGCAGGTGGGCCCCATGATAGCAAATGATGGAAACAGGCAGAGGATGGAGATCCCAGTAGGCAAGCAGGCAACCTTCCTGCAGGGGGGTGTGTCTCATAACTTACTACTAAGCCCAGCATGTGTGTAGGTGTGTATGTGTCTTAACTTATCGCTAAACCCAGCTGCTGGGCCAGAGCTCAGTTCTTGAGAGGATGGCACAAAGAAGGTAGGCCCCAAATTTTGGAGGAAGCAGGTACTTAGCAGGGTTTCAGTGATGGGGATGGGGGAGGATATGAAACAAGAACCTTGTGCCAGGACCAGGAATCAGTAAAAGGTTGGCTTTATCTCTCCCTAGACCTTGACCCACAGTCAGAGTGAAACAGCAGACAGCCTGACTTAATGAGTCCCCGGATTGTGAACTAGAGCCAGATTGGGGGCTAGGTCCTCAGACTGGGGGAGAGGCAAGGCCCCCAGGTTTCTCCGCAGGACTAACTGGGGGGTCTGGTGGGAGGCCTGGGAAGAAGTGCTGTCCAATAGGCAGAATATGACACACAAGTAACCATGACACAAGGACGTATGGGTGGGGATGATGGTCCACTGATGTTCCCAGGAGAAAGAAATCCCTGGGTCAGAAGAGATGTCATGAAGGAGAGGTTTGAGGTGGGCTTAAAGAGAGGTAGGATTTGCATATGGACCAAGAAGACAAAGGGAGATGGTGGGACAGTGCGCAGGTGGAAGAGTCGGGGACTGTTCTGCAGACTTGACATGGGGGGTGTGTGTGTCAGAGAGGAGAGGTAGAAGGATTCCAAGCCCAGTCCTCCTCCCCCAAGGGTGCCCTGGAGTGGTGGCAGTGGCCAAGTGGGGGAGGGCAAGGTGGCTCTGACATTCCCGCCTTCTCTGGGCCCCAGCTTGCGACCGCTTGATCTCGAGTTCATGAAACACCTCAGCAAAGTTGTGAACATCATCCCTGTCATTGCTAAGGCTGACACCATGACCCTGGAGGAGAAGTCTGAATTCAAGCAAAGGGTGAGATGGCCCCCTTCTCCTCCTGCCTCCATCCCTTCCTTCCCCTCTTTTGGGTCTGAGCCATCTCCTAGCCCTCATCATTCTTCCTTCTTCTGCACCCTTAGCCCTCCCCGCAACTCTCCACCCCAGCTCCTGCTTAACCATGAAAGAGCTGGGGCTGGCGGCATCTCGGGACCAACAATGAAGAGAAGCCAGTGTGGCTCTGGGCTGCCTTCTTCCCACCTCCCAAATCTACCTTTGAAGACATTGAATACATAAATCACCATGAGCATGAGAAATCGCTCCTCATGTTAGGTTACTGGAAGGACTAGACTAATCAGTCAGTCAACCGCCTGCTAGTCCGTATTAGTATCTTCTGTAAGCTCAGCCCTGTGCTGGATGCATGGGCGCAGGCCAGGGGGTATTGGAGAGAAATGTAAAGACAGTTGCTGCCTTTAAGAAACTCACAGTCAGAGGTCATGGATGGCTTCCTGGAAGAGGTGAGACTTAAGCTGACCTTGAAAAGGGCAAACAAGAGGCTTGGGGGCTCACCTCTCCTCCCTGTGAGCAGGAACATCACATGCAGGGGCATGAGCACTGCCCAGTGGGGTCTGAACTTGGCTGTGCTGCTTGTCTAAATCCTAGCCTTGTGGACCCAGGGATGAGCAAGCTGGTTGTGAGGAGCCGGGCCTGAAGCCTGCACTCCTGAGACTCTTCCTTCTCCTGGGCTGTGCTGTAGCAATTGTAGAACCAGGGCCTGCATTTATGCAGGATCTTCCTGCTGACAGGGCCTCAGAGTTCAGAGATGATTGTGAATTATTAAAGGCTAGATTCATCTGATTTCAGCTCATGCACACATGTGCACACACCCCTCTTGACCTTTGGCCCCCTTCTCCTTCTCACCTCTAGGTTCGCAAGGAGCTTGAAATACATGGCATTGAATTCTACCCCCAGAAGGAATTTGATGAGGATTTGGAGGACAAGACGGAGAATGACAAAATCAGGGTGGGTGCCTGGGGCGCCGTTGATGACACAGATGTCCCCTTGCTACACCAGGATGTGTATCATGTACCTCCTCTGTCTTCCTGCTTCACCTTGCCTGCCCCAGGCCAGAAGTCACATGGAAAAAAGATGAGCACTATGACCCTTGCCAGGAATGTGAACACACAAAGGGGTTCCCTGCACCCAGAAAGCTGGTGTTCCCTTCCATTGCCAGAACACACAAAAGCCTCTTCCCCCAAAGGACCTGGCAAAACAAGAGTGTGGGCTGATGGAAGGGGCACCAGGCAGGAAAAGCATCAGGCTGGGGTCCAGGGGAATCTATGCTCTAATGAGACTCTGTCTCTATAAAATGAAGAGGTTAGAGTAGGTGAGTGGCTTATAGGCTTTTATTCCCCTTAGAAGAACACTTTTTGAAAAAGTAAATCTCAGAACTCCAGTGTACAAAACATAAAAACAGAGCTGGTTTGGCTAAGTGACAGGGGCACAGAGTCCTGCCTCCTCGGCAGCCCCTAGGATACCTGCTGTGAATAAGGCACCATGGAACCTGGCTTGGAAACCATCAGCCTGTGTGATTGCTTAGGTCCCTCTCAGTTCTGAATTTCTGCAATCCTGTGATTCTACATCAGCATCCTGGGATGTAGTCTGGGCTTTTCTTGTAACCCACAGAGCACTCGCTGCTTTCGTCTTGAGTCTCCTCCTCCATCAAGAGTGGATAATGTAGTAGAAGCCCCTTATCCAATGTAGCTGTGACAGGCAGTTGGCCAGTTAATCGAAAAAGACAGTTGAAGTGAGGAAATCTTTTTAAAAAGGTGATGTATACAAATCTTAAAAATTTAAAAATAAATATGAAGTTATTAAGTTAAAATAACTTTAAACATATACATCACTTTCATTAAACATTCTTTTCTTGTAGAGCCAAGGTCTCTTCTTTGAGTATAAATCTATTCTTAATGCCAAGCCAACTCACTTTTATAAAGTCTTTTGGAAACATTTAACTTAATTTTCAAAGAAACAACTCTCCACACACACGTCCTCAGCTTGTATAATAGTTAATTTACCCAATGACAATAACAAGTATGCACCAGACAAATAGATTTGGGAGCAGGCAGTTGGCTCTTGGTGAACACAGTCCATCTGGTGGAGCAGAGGGGTCTATGCACACCAGAGGGTGGCCGAGAGCTCATAGTTCAGTGGGCGAGGGCACCTGCCAGTGTAAAGCTTCAGTAAGTCTGGCTGTTGCTTGGGTGGGGGTTGTTTGAGAGAGGTTCTGTTGGTCCTAGTTAGCTCGTAGAGTCGTTCCAAATCAAACAAAACGTGTGGTAAAGCTCTGTGAAAGGTACTAAGTGCTCTCTAATTGAAGGAAAGCTGATTTCCTGAGGTTAACCAGCTAGGCAGTAGTGCGATCAGGGCTGGACCCAGGACTCGTGACTCTCAGTCCAGCGCTCTTTTTGAGAGACAGAGCCTTGCCCTTGCCATGAATGGTGTCACTGAACGAGCATCAGAATTGTGTGGTTCAAGGCTAGAGGCCTGTATGCTGTCCTGCCCTTGGACACTCAGGTCCTAGGAGGATGACTGTGCGTGTGTGTCTGGTTTGTGTTTCTGCCCCTGTCCAGCAGGAGAGCATGCCTTTTGCTGTGGTGGGAAGTGACAAGGAGTACCAAGTGAATGGCAAGAGGGTCCTCGGCAGAAAAACTCCCTGGGGCATCATCGAAGGTAATTCAATGCATCTTCTGGAAGAACTGGCTGCTGGTCAGTTATCCAGCAGCCATTTATTAAGATCCAGGCCAAGGCACTGACCTAGGATATATGATATAAAATGAATGTCAGCCCATAAGGAGCTTGCAGTCCAATGGAGATGATGGTACTCACAGGCCAGGAGCAGTAAGAGACCTGTTTAGCACCTGACTGGGTAGCACTGACTCGGCCTGTCAAAGGAGTTCAGAACATGGAGGTATTAGGAAGGTCTAGAAAAACCTCTGACGGACTGCTGAAGGGTTGTTCAGATCTTGCTGTTTCCATTATCAATGGATGTGACCTTGGACAGGTCACGATTCTGAAGGATTTGAAAGAATTGCTTTAATGATCTCATTCAATATGATAGCCCTACGGGGGGGGGGGTTGAGGGGAGGGGCAGGGGAGGGGGACAGATGTTTTTGTTCTCAGAATATAAGCCATTGAAGCACTTGAATCTCAGGCAGGTTAAGCACCTTGCCCAAGGTCACATAACTTGTTAGTGGTGAAACTTGGATTGCAGACTCTTATATTTTGATTCCAAAACCAAAGCTCATCCCATTGTCTTGTAAATTCTCTCTTTCCTATGACCCAGCGTTGGGATTTTTAAAATAACATTTTCTCATCAAGTACCTTGAACAGGAATTATTTATGAGAATGTCTGTCTCACCCATTAGATTGTGAGACTGAGGATTCATGTCTTAATCCTCATTCTGTTTCCACAGTCCTTGGTAAGTGATTTGCAAACAGTATGTTCTCAATCTGTGTTGAATTGGATTTATCATGTTGTGCGTGACCTTTTTGAGATGGCTCAATTGTGATTTTTTTATGTGTTTCTTTCTTCCAGTCAGATTATAAGTTCCTTAAGGATAGGAACTATGTCTTAGGCCTTGGCAAGTTTCTGAGGTTCTCTCTGTGTTAATTTTCTCTTCTGTAAAATGGGAAAAATAACAGTTCCTATTAGATATTGTTCCACAGGGTCTAGAGCAGTATTGTGCCCATTGTAGCTGTGTAACAAATATTTTTTCAGTGAATAAAATGCAGTGCACTGACGTGAGTAAACCTCTGGAAGGGTTACAGAATGACCTGTCCCATGGCTCCCGTCTCTCTTAAATGCTTCCATGACCCGAACAGAAGTTCACCTCCTGGGTGTTGCTGCATTAATGAAATGACCACCTGTTTTGTTTCATTTTGTTCACAGTGGAAAACCTCAACCACTGTGAGTTTGCCCTGCTTCGAGACTTTGTCATCAGGTAAGATGTCTCCTCTCCCCTGACCCAGATGGTAGGTTTGTTTGGGGTCAGGGGGACATCTGTTCAGAGTCACTCCCTGAAGCTCCAGATAGAGGTCTTTCTGACAGAGCTTCCTGCCCCAGTTCCACCTCCTGTCTCAAAGCAGAAGGGGCTATAGAAGTATCACTGGCCCTCTGGAGCGGGTCCCAATCTTTGGGTCCAGTCCATCGAAGTGATGTATTAGCCTCAGGTGTGGGTCACCACCTCCTCTCCCTGCCTCTAATTGTGGTCCTCTCTTCTCATCCCCTGTCCTTCAGGACTCACCTCCAGGACCTCAAGGAAGTGACACACAACATCCACTATGAAACTTACAGAGCCAAGCGGCTCAATGACAATGGAGGCCTCCCTCCGGTGAGCGTAGACACAGAGGAAAGCCACGACAGTGAACCATGATGACCCCTTCTCTGTGTCATCACACATACCCACTTCTACACACACACACATACACACACACCACACACACCACACACACACATCCTAAATACCACCACCAATCTCCTTCTTCCTTTCAACTCTGTCCCACAGGCCTGTCTGGTATCTGTGTGCATCTTGTCTGCTGTGTGTGTGTGTGTGTGTGTGTGTATGTGTGTATGTATGTGCAGGGGTGAGGCATTTTATCTGTGTGCATCTTGTCTGGTGTGTGTGTGTGTGTGTGCGTGTGCGCGCACGCGCACGCAGGGGTGAGGTATTTTCATTGCCCTCCCTGGGAAGTCCCCTGTAAGTTTGGTTCCTCCATGACTGTCCATTATCTGTCTCCTTCCCTCATGTCTTAGAACAAAGCCATGTGCCTCACTCAACAGGTCTGGGGGAGGTTTCATTTAAAAACGATGGGAGGGGGTGAGCCTCGGGCAACTCTTTCTTATCTCTGAAGCTTCCAATAAACTGGGGCCGCAGGGACTCTCCAAGGACAGGTGGGAGCTAGACCTGGGTGAGGGGCAGGGAGTTCAGGACAACACTCCATTTACATTGGGGGTGGTCAGGGTAAGGCTAAGTCTTCCTGGAAAAAGGAAGGTCATGGGGCAGCAGAGAAGTATGCCAGAGCTGGTTTCCTGCAGAAAGGACTAGTGCCTAGAAGTGGAGCCCCACCGTTCGGTCTGTGTCTAGTTCACTGTCCAGAAGCCACCACCTGTCTCCACTGCAGACCACTGCCTCCCACACCTGCCTTGCCTCTGCTCCTGGCTAGCTGCCTGCTTCTGCCCCCTGCTTTCTCTTTTTCCCTTTCTTTTTCTCCTTTCTTCATACATGCCTTCCTCCCTCCCTCTCTCCTATTAATCCACTTTGGCTTCATTTCTATATTTAGAATTCATGTCCAGTCTACTTCCAAAAATGACTTTAGGCCACCTTAAAATAAAGTCACACCTAAAAGCATGGGACAGTACAAACTGAGATTATAAGAGAAATCAGAGCCATAGAGAGGAATAGGAAAGAAAGTTTCTGCAGCTGAGTTCTGGAATTGGACCTGAGTTTGTAGGCAGCCCAGGCATAGGGAAGGAAACTCAGCGAGTTATGCCATCCTCGGTGTCCAGTTAAAGGAAGAACACGTGCTGCTCAAATGAGACAGCCTTTTTAGGGGCATTAAGTTCTAGAAGAATTAATTCTAAAGTATCAGAAACAATATGCAATATTTGTCTTTCTCAGCGGTTTGGCCTCAGAGACAATTTCTAGATCACACCTCCTTTTCTCCATCAGACTTCTCTTTTATGCTGGCTTCTCTCCTTTTGTCTCATACATGCTTGACCACCTCCTCTTTTCTGTTCTCCCTTACTTTTGTGCTGAAGCTAATTACATTTGTCCATCTTTTTCTGCTTTTCCCCGATTCCCCTCCTCCTGACTCCTGTATACATTCCAATGAAACCCACAATCGTACATTTAGCCTTTTCTTGCCTTCCCCTTAAGTCCAGTATTTATGAATCATTTCCCATTTGTTGTATACATAAGTTACTCTTCTTCCTTTAATCTGTAAGGTTGCTGAAATTCGGGGCCGGGGAAATGATTTAGCCTCAGGAAAGGGAAAACACCAAGTGATACTGTTTACAATAACCTCATACAACCTCCTGTCCCATCTCCTGGTCCAGCCTAGGTGTTTAACTGGTCCTCTATGAATCCCTGCATTTATAATCCCCATTCTTTATCACTCAGGTCCTAGGAAAAAAACAGACTTAAGACCCAAGATTCAGTGGACCAGGAGAAAAAGGTGGGGTGATCAGATCACTAGTGACCCAAAACCTATGGTCTCACTGTTTCCTGGAGGCCTATTTACCAATGCAGCCCTCATCCTCCTTCGCCCACAGGGTTACTCCAGGGTGGGCACCTGGCAGCAGTGTTATAGCCTAGAGGTTACAATGTTTCAACAGAAGAGGGATCCCTGGCTTCTACAGTGAGCAGTCTGAATGGACACATGGGACTGGATGCATAGGACTAACGGGACGATCTAGGGGTGAGGGTGGGAGGCATGGAAGAGGCTGAGTAGGTGAATGGTGCTTGGTAACCTTAAACCATGATCTCAGCCTCCCTGGACAAGCTGTTTTATTTGTCTGCTGCCAGTTGCTGGTCTCCACACCTTCAACCATTCTCAACCCCCCTGCAGGGAGAAGGCCTCCTGGGCACTGTCCTTCCACCTGTGCCAGCCACCCCCTGCCCCACTGCCGAATGAAGCCATTTCAAGCGCTGCTTCTCCCTCCATTCCTCTCAGCTGTTATTGCTGCAGGGCCAAGCCCTTTTTAGTTCTGTGCTTGTCCAGCCTGCCACCACAGCCCCTCAGCAGGTGGGAGGGGCCAGCTGCCTCTTTAGGACAGTTGCTTCCTCCATTTACCCAAATCACTCCTCTCCTCCCGGTGGAATGGAGTTCTCGCCAGCACTGCCCTACTGCATCATCTTTGTCAGCCGGTCCCAGCCCATCTATAGGGTGAAAGAACTCACCAAGAGCTCCTTCTGCCCTTGCAAACCCATACCAGCTACTTGTAACCATCTCCAAGGGCAATGGCATTGCTCCCTACCCATTCATGTGCATGAGCTACTCTTGACTTCCATAAAGGGTCAAGAAAGCAACTTTTCTGCTTGCTAGATTCATTGAGGTCAGCTGAGTGAGCCCCAGTGTGGGACAAGGGTGTCTCCTTTATTGCTGAAAGGTATTTATAAGGGTGGGTCACTACAGATGTGGGGGAGCTAGGGGTAGGATCACTTTAAAAAAAATTACCACTTGCAGCTGGCCCAGAGTGCGGTTAACATGCCCTCCCTACCCCATAAAGGCAGCCACTTAGGAAGAGTGGTTTTCCCAGAGACATTGTTAGAGTTGACTTTTTTATCTCCAAAACTTAAGAACTAAACACACACACACAAAACCCCAGAAACCCACAAGATGTACACTCTAGGAAGAAAAACACCTTTTGTCCACTTAGCAATAAGAGGGATCTCTTCCCACCTACCCCGACTACTCCTACCCCCAGTCCCCACCCCCCAACCCCATTAATGTGAGTAATGAATTAGCCTGGCCACAGGTGGTCGCTGTAGGCTAATGGAAAATACCCAGTGGAGGGCAAAGTCCCCCATCAGATGCATGAATGTTTGCGAATGTCGGCTGCCACTGCCCCACACACTGTTGTTGTTATAGAATCCCTTGCCCACCCCACCCCCACCTGCCATTTCCACCTGGACACAACTTGCTGAAACGCTGGTGACTTGTGGGCCATTCATCTACAACCAAGTCCTGATGGAACAAGAGGCCCAAGCCTAGGGGATGCAAGAACGACCCATTTCTTAAATGTTACCAGTCGCAGCCAACCTTATGGTGACATTAAGGTTAAATTTCCCAATTGAAAACAAGCCAACAAAAAAACTGTAAATGTTGCTAGACTATGTGTTGTACAACTGAACATTGCTGTTTGAACAATAATTGCCTGGCCTGTGTCTTATTTATGCTGCTCGCTCCTTGGCCAAATCAGCCATTACATCATCTCACCCACATGTGGAGGGTGAGATGGGGATCATCTTGGCAAAAAGAAACCACAGATATTAGAGATGACTTTGTGAAGTCAGTTCATCTTCAGTTGGCGTGAGGTCGGACCCCAGTAGTTATTTCCTGGGGTTTTTGTATCCCAAATGAGTGAGGGAGCTATCACACCTGACCTCCAGGGATGCTGTTCTTTGCATAGCCTGTCTCCCTCAGTAAAAACAATGTTTATTTTCACTCAGTTTCTTAGCTTTCTGCCTCCTTTTCCCCAAAGGCATAAGAACCAAATCTATGCAAGAAGTGAACCCATTTCACCTAGTGACTTGTCTATTTTATAGTGAATACCTTTAATTAAGCACTAGCTTTCATATTTCTTGAACTTAAACTAATCCTTCCCGTCCTGAGGTATACACTCTCTTTTGTAACCAGCAACTATCACAACTCTCTCCTGTATATTATTTCTCTGGTTCAAATGTGACAACTGTATGTGATTATGTTGGGGGCCTCAACATTCTGTAGCGTGAGTGCAAGGGTTAGACGAATGATGGGAAGTGGTTTGGAGGCGTCAAAGTTGGAGAAAGATGAGTCAGGAGGCTCTTGGAGTCATTTAAGTAAAATGATGAGGGCGGGAACTAGAGTGGCACATGACACTGAGATGGAGAGAAGTGAGATTTGAGTGACCAAGTTTGTTGAACATAAAATATCACAGGTAAAAGAAACCTAAGAGCTCTTCTAGTCCAGTGCCTTCATACAGATATGGAAACTGAAGTCCTGAGCACACAATCATCTTGCCCAAGGCTGCACTTAATTACCAGCGCAGGATAGGGGCTAGATCTCAATGCTTGTTCCACGAGTTCACACCATTCCTACCATATTTCATTTGTTCTCGAAAGTCTTGTACTTTAAAAAAATTTTCTGATATCAGGATTGTATTAGTCCGTTTTTGTGATACCTCAGACTGAGTAATTTATAAAGAAAAGAGGTTTATTTGGCTCATGAATCTGGGACAGCTGCATCTGGTGTGGGCCTGCTTCTACTCATGGTGGAAAGCTGCGGACAGCTGGCATGTGCAGATCGCATGGTGAGAGGAAGCAAGAGAGAGGGGAGGTGCCAGCCTCCTTTAAACAACCGGCTCTGGAGGGAACCAATAGATAATTCACTCATTACCCGCCCCTTTCCAGGGCATTAATCCATTCATGAGGGGATCCGCCCCTATGGCCCAAACAGCTCCCAATACTGCCACATTGGGAATCAGGTTTTGGGATGAGCTTGGGGGGAGGGGGCGGACAATATATCCACATTCTATCACGTATACATCTTACCATTGATGGCATGTCAGTTTACTTGGCAACTTTTTTTTCTCAGTGATACATTAAAAAACGGTGCATCTGGTACTTGACTGCATCATAAATTCGACGAAATGCGGAAGTATTTCCCTTTGTTTGAAGACCTCTGGTGCTATTTGTAAAGTGTAAAGGAAGTAAGACTGATCAACATTCTAGTCGTCAAAGCGGTTCTGGTATAACGCGTCCCGCCGGATACTTACAGTCAGTCACCCTTTAGAAGAGGGAGGCCGCGGACTCACTTGGTGGAAACTCACTTTCGACTTCCTGACCCCGCTCACCCGTCCTTTCCCGGACGTCACCTCGCAAGACGACTGGCTCCGGTTCTAGGCCTTCTCCGGTAGAATCAAGTCCCGTTGGCCTTTCCGAGAGGCGAGGACTCTTTCTGGACGCTTATTCCGAAAGGCAGAACCTTCCTGACCGGGCAGGAGAGTGCACAGGGACATCCTGGCAGGGGTTCTGGGGATGGCTGCTTTTAACTTTGAGTCCTGACAGGGTCAACCCAAGTCCAGACCCGCAGGCTGCCAGACCCGCTGGGCGCCACCGCAGGGGCGAGAGGGCAGGGGCGAGAGGGCAGGTGCGGTAGCCAAGGCCACTTAGCCGTCGCTCAGCAATCCGAGCTCTGGGGGCGGAGCCAATTCCCTGGACCTGCCCCTCTTTCCCGTCAGGGGCGGGTCTCAACCCCGACCCCCCCCCCCCGGCCCGGCCACGCCCCTCACGTGACCAGCCGCCTCGTCCACTCACTCGTCGTCCTTGCGCCATAATCTCCTCCCTCTCTTCCAGGGCCCCGCCCCACTGCTTGGCGCAGGCCCTGCCTCTTCCCATCCGCCGGGCGGCGGGAGGGGGGCGGAGCAAGATGGCGGTGAATCAGAGCCACACCGAGGACCGCCGCGGGGCCTCCATCCCTTACGGTGAAAGGTGCCTGAGGGGAAGCCCGGGTTGTGTTGTCAGGAGAGGGAAGAGACGAATGAGGGCTCTCGAGCCCTCAGCAAATCAGGGACGTTCCCGCCTTTTCCTGGCGCGCGATGAGGAGGTGGAGTGTGGATCCTTCCGGAAGGTCCCGAACTCTCAGGAGCCTCTCCTTGGCCCTTGGAACTTTGGAAGGTTCCTTTTTTCCCTTCTTCCCTTCCAGGGAGATAACTGCTCTTACTTTTTTGAAAAGATCGGGGCCGAAAGTGGAGACGCCGTGGAAGAATGGCGCACTCTGGGCCTCGCACGGCGCTGTGGGGCTCGCGCCAGTCGCTCTGCGCCCTCCAGTGCCGGCCGCTCGCCCTCAGCTCCTGCCTCAGTCAGGCTCCGTGGGGGCGTCCATCTTTGCCTACGAGGCAGACTCGTGCCCTAAGGCATCGACTCCACCTCGCGCCCCTCCTTCCCTCCCCGTTTTCCACGGTCGTTCTTGGTCTCCACAGCTGTGCTTTTCTGAATTGGGCTCCTCTGTGCTCTGATTTGCCCTCGTTTTTCTTTTCTCCCGCCTGGCTGGGAGACTCTCACTCAAACAGAATACCGTGCTCGGGGGGGACTGAGCACAACGAACTCATTCGAATGCATTTGTCAGGAGGATCCAACAAGACAGTACCACATGCTCATGTCCAGATCGTTTTTCTATGCTTTCTTCCCCCAGAACGCTTTCGTGACAGATTTAGACGGGTAGTTGAAGTTGTACGTCCTCACTTGCTCCTTATGCTGTTTTGTTCAATTTGGTGGTAGATGACTGGTCGCCCCTCTGACCGCGATGTCTCCGTGCGCACTGACCGGGACACTTTGACTTGTGTGCCTGTCATTCATTCTGTGCTGTGAAGCCATTTCTAATCTGGTGTTTGGGTGTTTTCTCACTCGGGCTACGTCTGTGTCTGTCTGCTTTGCTGTTTGTGTGTTGGAAGCAGGGTTTTTAAAAATTAACTACAACATACACTGATTTTATAGTTTTTAAAATTATCTTTTTGGGGTCCATTCTGTGTTCTTGAATACTTAATAATAGCATTTAATGAACATTTAAATATGGCAAGCACTGTTGTTAAATCTTTATACTTATAACCACTTTACGTACAATTAGGATCAGTACTATTTCCCTTATTTCACAGGTGGGAAAACAAACACAAAGAGAAGTAATTTTCTCGAAATCATATGGCCAGTTGCATGTGAGAGAGAGATCTTGGATTTGGATTTGAACTTAAGTACTGTGATTAACTCCTGTACTCCAGCCGTCCCTCAAAAAAGAAATGTTTCTCTGCTTTCACCTCACCACAATTCCCCTTTTAGGAATATATCCCAAAGATATATATGAAAGGTGGGCAAAGATATGTTTTCAAAAATGTTTACTGCGGGAATGTTTATAGTAATGCCCCCCAAACCCCCAAATACCCCAGATTGGGGTTTGAGCAAAGATTTATACACACTGGAGTACCAGCCATTGAAATTAATGATGTAGATATTGACACTGGGAAGCTGTGATATTGTGAAAAAATATGTATTTGGTCTTCATCCCGTTTCCTGTATACAACTCCTAAAATTCTTAGAATCTCCAAAGTGGTATCTTTTCATATCCTAATGAGTTGACTGATGGCTGGCTGCGCCTAGGTAGCTTCGGGATGGGGACTGGTCACCTGGTCTCCAGAAAGACCAAGGTAGTCTCACCCCCAACTTTGGGGAGGGAAGAGAGGTTGAAGGTTAAGCCGATGACCAATGGCCAGTTTAGTTACTCATTACCATGATTATCATTTAGTTACTCATGCCTGTGTAATGAAGCCTCCATAAAAACCTGAAAGGACACGGTTTGGAATGCTTCCAGATAGTTGAATGCGTGGCGGTTCCTGGAGGGTGGTGCAACCAGGGAAGGCGTGGAAGCTCCACAGGCCTTTCCCTGTACCCTATGTGTCTCTTCATCTGTATCCTTTATAATAAACTGGTAAACATAAGTATGTTTCCCTGAGTTCTGTGAGCTGTTGAAGCAAACTAATCGAACTCAAGAAGGGAGTTGTGGGAACCCCAGTTTGTAGCTAGTTGATCAGAAGCCCAGGTAAAACGACCTGTGGCTTGCAATTGGCATCAGAAGTGGGAAGTGGGGGTTAGTCTTGTGGGACTGAGACCCACTGTGGGATCTGGCACTATCTCCAGGTAGGTAGAGTGGGAGTTGAATTGGAAGACACCGGCTGGTTTTTGCTGCAGAATTGCTTGCTTGGTGTGTGGGAAAAAACCCACACATCTGATGTCAGAATCGTGTTACGAGAGTATAGTGCAAAAAACTGAATACTTTGTGTGTTTTTTCCACTCTCTCAAGAGCATTCTCAATATATTGGTAAGTGAGGAAAACAAGTTACAGAGCAGTTGGAGGAAAGGTGTATTTCCATAGGGAAAAGTGCAGAAGGATACATAATGGATGCTGGAATTTGGGGTAACAAAAATTTCCCCTAATTTTTCTACAGTGACTCATATGTTATAATTTGAACAAGTTTTAAACACTGGACAAAATAAAACAATGTTTTCCCTTTTTGCAGTAGAGTCTGTCCCATACATTCACTTCTCAACTACGATCAGAAAAAGATCTACAAAACAAAGCCAAGATGTGATGAATTTCTCAAGTGGTTATTGTGACTAGACAGAAGAAATCTTCGCCTTTCCAAGGTATTTCTTTAAGGTAGTTCCTAGATAGGAAGCCAAAGCACTGACAGGGCCTTCTTTGGTGAGAGGGAAGCGGAGAAACATTGCTTTTCTTTTCTGAGGGACAGCTGGAGTAGAGGAGTTGATCATAGTATCTAAGTTCACTTTCAAATCCAAGCTCTCTCACAGGCACCTGGCCATATGATTTTGGGAAAATTACTTCTCCTTGTGTCAGTTTTCCATTTATATATATATTTAACAAATATAAATATACATTAAAATATATTTATTGCGGGCTGGCCCGGTGGCGCACTGGATAGTGCGCTGCTTGGGAAGTGCGGTGGCGCTCCCGCCCGAGGGTTCGGATCCCACATACAG